GCATTAGTTGTTCATGATGTGCAATAAGTTGCCGTTCAGTGCACTGATATCTTCACGATACCACTATTGAATGTGTACAGAGCTGGAATATGTGTATATTGGAAATAAGGAGAAATCCTTCTCATTATTAACTGGAGTTTTGGTGTGTTTCTATTTGGATAAGTAAGTGAGAGTAGTAGCCCTAAAAAGTGCTCAAAACTACTTTAGAAAATAGTCATTATGCAGAAGTCCCCTGTCTGTCTTCTGAAAATCTCAAAAAAGCCCAACCAGCTAGCTGTCATTCCTGCCAGCCCTCAGCATTTGTTCACAATTGGTATTTATAATAATTTACCAAAGAGCTATCTAAGTTATACTGAATAGAATTTTGAAAAGCATTGCTTTAAAAAATAAAAAGTATCTATAAACACACAGACCCACACACAGAGACACATATTGGGGGAACTCCTAAGTTAGAATACAACTCAGGCCAAATTCTTGCCTAAAAATTCTAATGGTTCACTGTTCAATATTTCAGAGCCAAAAGGATGGCTGGAAACGTATTCAATCACTGTGTTCATTGTCCTTCCCAAACTATAGTAATCCCACCGCAGAACCAGCATCACTCATTCCACACCCCACCCCCGCCTTCAGACGATGCTGCCCTACCCCTTACCACTCCCATGCTGCCTCTGTGCTTTCCTCTAGAGAAGGTGGAGATGCACACTCTAGTCCTTTCCAGAAAGCACTGTGGCCTTAGGTCTGGAGAAGAGACCCCACTCCCCAGAGATCTGTGAAAAAGCCAGAGCTGAACAGACTCATCTCTCCAAACATGAAGTTGTCAGTTGCCCATTTCATCCCGCACTTGGATATTTGCTGCTTGTACTCTGGGACCTCGTCAGTCACACCGAGTGCTGTCAGGGTTTTGTGTTGGGCTCTCTCCCCCTGCTCCCTCTCCCTGTCAGGCAATGGAATATATCTCCAATGCTGCTTTAAGTTTTCTGATCTTGTCTCCTGCACTGCCAGTATGCACGTGGTCCTGCTTCTATTCATTTTATGAAGTACTTACACTTTATACAGAATGTCATATTTTGATAGCATTAGGCCATTCCAACCAGAAAGTTCCTTGAACAGGAGTTATTTTGTTGTCAGTCCCCAGTACAGAGCATCTACACTCACTGAGGCTTACTTTAGCGTTCCTTTTCTCTGAAGAATTGTCTCTGTCCACCTGAGTTCCTTTGTCCGCACTCACCTTTCAAGACATGCACTGGTAGAGGATCAGGAAACAGAGTTCATGGCTCGGAATGTGTGAAATGTAAAAGCACAGCAAACTGCATTGCACTTAGCACCTGAAGCAAATCTAGTAGGAAAAATGCACTTTTCTAAATGCTCAAATGTTATCAAATGACTCTCTAGAGCAGTAATCCTCTCTGTTAACAGCCCGTATTTCGCTGTTAGAAATCACTCTTGTGAGTTTTATATTGTGCTTTTGGGGGTGGGGGGGTGTTCTAATCATTTCAGCGGTAGTATATCTTAAACAACAGTATTAAGCAGTGTGCTTCGGAATGTGAACTAACTTGTTGAACCCGTGGCTTTACCATCGATGTGATTAGTGTACATGGTATTTGCTCTCCATTAGCCAAGCGATTCCATATAAACATCACCAGTGCCGATTGAAGTTCTGTGACCAGTGTTTCCCATTGAATATAAACTACTGTCTACGATATACATATCACATAGCAGCTCAGCCTTTTTTCAGGAACATTACAAGTGGCAAGTTGCTACAAGGGCACCATGAAGAGAGTTGAAGGTCTGCTGCCAATAACTAGCCATTATTCTGTGTATTAAAGTATCTACCAGCTCTGTTGAAAGCAGAGCAGGAATTAGACACTAAGAATCTCTTTGTGAATTACTTGTTCTCTATAGTAGATTTCTGTTTATATGTAAGTATTTTATTGCTGATGTGGCATCCACTATTTATAACTATACCCTTTATAGAAATACAGTATGAAAGTCAGTGGTATCTGAGCATTCTGTACATACATATCCTGTGAAATGTGCCGTCACATGAAATAAATATACCTGTCTTTACCATACTGCTGTGTTCCACCACCTTCCTTAAACTTGGACACAAGTTACCAAGGTGGAGAGGAGTGCAGGTAGGGCAGAGAAGGGAATACTATGACAATGATAGTTGAAAATGATCACTATAGACAAAAATAGAGTGCTGAAAAGAGGTAAGGTGATACGCATGATACATTTTCACAGTATTGCAAACCACAGTGCCTAAAAGGTAGGGAATGGGGGGAGCGAGAGAGTGAAAAAAAGGTCTGTCATAGAGGCAGACTGTAGAACAGGGCAGAGGGGGTGGGCAGGAGGAAAATTGGGTACATTGGATACATTTAAAAAACATTTAAGGGGCTCAAGAGATAATCCAGTTGGTAGGGCATTTGCCTTGCATTTGGCCAACCCTTGTTCTATCCTCAGCACCCCAAGTGGTTCCCTAAGCCCATCAGGAGTGATCCCTTAGCACATAACTAAGAGTAGGCCCTGAGTACCACTGGCTGTGGCAAAAAAAAAAAAAATATATATATATATATTTAATATACACAAAAAAGCTTGGGCACAAGTTGAGTGACATTTGGGAAAAATAAAAGGCTTCATGTCAAGCTGGCTTTTTGAGACATTTTCATCTATTTTTCCTCTCCATGGAAGTCTCAAGTAAGAAGATAATTCTGAGATTAGTAGTCACCAAAAAGTTCCCGCGCTTACTCTGAATGGTTTCTCATTCACAAGGGGATTGGCAGGGAAATTAGACATAAGCAGGAATGAGGACTCTATAACCACAGCTGAAGGAAGGATGGGACTGATAGAAGGAGGCATGCAAATCCAACTTCTTAGGCCCCCATGAAGAGGCTCAGGCTCAGGCTAGTGGTTCTAATGCTGCCTTTTGTCAGTCTTATGTTTTGGCTTCTCAGAACCATTACTTCTCTTCATAAACTGGATCATGCCGATTAACCTCTGATTGCTGTTATAGATACAGAATGATAGGCTTTTTCAAGCCTGTAAGAGAATTTTAGGTTTATATGCAATGGTAAGAAAATAATATAGGAAGGTCCCACATACTTTTTGGGGCACGAGGACGGAGAGGATGGTTGGGCCACACCCAGCTGTCACAGGTTTATACTCCTGGCTTTGGGCACAGGGATCACTCCTGGGGTGCTTGAGGGACCCTATGCAGTGCCATGCCAGGACTGGAACTTGGGTCAGCTGACTACAAGAAAAGCGCCTCACCCACCATACTAGCTCTCCAACGGTGATCCCACAGACTTTTTGGGGGTGGTTGACAGGATAACCAAACCCAGACACAAAAATACCTATCTATCAAATGCTCACTAATTTTGTTTGGGGGCTACATCCAGCTGTGCCCAGGTCTTACTTTGTGTGTGTCTGTGTGTGTGTGATCATGTTTTGTTTCTTTTTATTTATATGGTGTATTATGTTGACTGACTTGTCAATGTTGAACCATCCTTGCATCCCCGGGATGAATCCTACTTGGTCATGGTGTATGATCTTTCTGATGAGTTGTCGGTATGTTGTTGATTAGTATTTTTGTATTTTGTATTAATATTTTGTTGAGGATCTTTGCATCTGTATTCCTCAGGGATTTTGGCCTATAATTTTCTTTTTGGGGGGTATCTCTGTCTGAAGGGTGATTATTTGCCTCATAGAAACTGGGAGTATTTCTGTTTCTTCAATTTTCTGAAAAAGCCTGAAAGGGATTGGCAGTAGGTCCTCCATCTGGGCCTGTGCTTCTGTTTGGGGGGAGACTTTTGATTACCATTTCAATTTCCTCCATAATAATAGGTCTGTTCAGGTATTCCAGATCTTTTTGATTCAGTCCTGGAAGGTTATAGGGTCCAGGGCTTTCTCCTGACTGCACTCAGGGATTCCCACCTGACATTCTTGGGGGATCAGATGGGGACGTTGAGGATCTAACCCTGGTTCCTTCCTGCTGTACTCTCTCTGGCCTCCACCACTTATTCCAATGTAAGAGGTAGAAAGTAAGTCTAACCACAGGAAGACTGAACGTGGGGAATGGGAAATCGCGCTGTGATATCACTGGGAACAGCAGTTATAAAGCTCAGGTAAAAACTGGAGGGCAGAGAAACTCTAGCAACTGGGTACCAGGATGTGTGCACTATTTTTGTAATGATGAAAACGATTTGGTGTGGGAAGTGACTTTGGTTTTCTTGTCACTAACGCTGTAACTCTGGAGCCCCGACCTCTGGATTTGGACAGCTAAAGGTAGCTCAGACGGCTGCTGCCATGGTGACCTCCCTGCAAACATCCCAGCCGGCGTCCAACCTGCATTTAGAACCAAACGGTGGTGGTGGGCGTGGCCTTCACTGACCTCCCTTCCCGACCGCCCAATCAGCCTCCAGAGCCCGCCTCCCGGCCGGAAACAAACAGGCGTTTCCGGAAGTGGAGTCGCGCGCGCCCCCGGAAACGGGCTGGAGCTGCGCATCTGAAGCCTGTGGACACGGAGGTCTTGCGTGCCCGCTCCCCGCGCCTATTCCCGACCTAACCATCTCCCTGCCGCCTTACTCGGCTCTCTCAGTGCAGTCTCGAACCCTGGGCCAGGCGTCCGGGGGCTCCGCACGACCCCCCCCTCCCCCAGCGGCCGGGGCTGCTGCTGGTGGGTTGCCCGGCCAACAGCCCCTTCCCAGAGCGGGTACAGCGAGTCCAGCTGGCGGCAGCTCCTCTTGGACTGGAGCGGGGGGGGGGGAGGTCTCCGCCCCGTAGTCATATTTTCCCGGGAGCGGGTTACCGGGGTCTCGACGCCCGGCAGAGTCCTGAGCGCGCACGGAGGAGCCGCCCCCCCACCCCCCCGCCGCACGTGCGCGCTCTGCGGTTCCTGGTTGCCCTTGGCAACGGTCACTTCCGGGACGCGTCCCGTTTCCCCCGGCCTCCCTCCCCGCACCTAGGGCCCGGGCGCTTGGGGTTCCGGCCTCTAAGCCCGGGCGCTGGTTGGCAGGTCACCGTTGGCTGGCGGCCGTCTCGGCGGGCTTCCTCCCCGCATCCCCCCAACCTGCCCGGCCGTCACCATGGTGCTGCTGCACGTGAAGCGGGGCGACGAGAGCCAGTTCCTGCTGCAGGCGCCCGGGAGCAGCGAGCTGGAGGAGCTGACGGTGCAAGTGACCCGGGTCTACAATGGCAGGCTCAAGGTGCAACGCGTCTGCTCAGGTGTGACGGGGCCGTCCAGGCGAAAGGTCTCCCCCACCCCCCCCCCCGACCCCCGCCCCAGGGTGGGAGATGGAGAAGGTGCGGGTGGGTGGCAGGCTCCGGGGAAATCCCCGCATCTGGGGAGGCCAGGTGTCCAGCAGCAGCAGCAGCAGCACCCCTCCCCCAAGCTTCTGGGAGCAAGCCTGATCCCCCAAAGACGGGGTGCAGAGGGAGGGGGCCCAAGGGCTGGGCGGATGGGCACATGCCCTGCAACCCACAGATGCCAGAAGAGGCCTTTTGCGGTGGTTTAAAGAATTTTGGGTATTAAGGGGTAACACCAGTGTGCAGAGCCTGCAGTAACCCCTGAGCAGTAGTGGGGGGGGGGAGGGGAGGAGGGGGGCGGGGAGCGGGCCGCAAACAAATGAACAACGAAGTGTTGAATTTCAGCTGCCCCAGGACTGACCTGACTGCAGGCCCTGGGTTGGATTTTCAGACACTGTATGATTCCCTTCCCGCCCCCCTTCTCCCCCTCCCCCCACGCTGGGAATAAAGCCCCTGGCACCCCCCCCCCCCCTTTTCCCAGCACTCTTTGGCCCAATGTGTCAACTACAAAAAGGTCAAGTTCTTTTTTAAAATTTTAATTTTGAGTCACACCGGAGTGGGCTTACTCCTGACTCTGCGCTCAGGAATTACTCCTGGGGGTGCTCAGGGGACTGTATGGGGTGCTGGAGATGGAACCCCCAGGGCAGCTGCAGGTCAGACAGCCGCCTTTCCTGCTGCACTGTGGCTCTGGCGCCATCACATTGATTTTTTGCAACTTGCAGAGAGTGAGAGGTTTCTGGTGTAGATTTGTAGCTGTGGGTGCCCTGGGGAACCTGGGGTCCTTTTCCCTCTTGCAGGAAACAGCCTGCTTCTTGGGTGACAGTGTTGCCCCATGTGACACCCCACCCCCAGCCCCACCATTGAGTAGTTTCCCGTAGTCCCATGGGTTTACGAGCAGTGCTGGGATGGCAACAGAACCACCAGGCTGCTCGGTCCTGGCTTCCCCTGGATAAGTGGCACTGTTAGGCCAAGCCTATGACTTTGGTATCTTGGAGAAGTCCTGGGGGGTGGGGGGTGGGGATGTGTGTGTGTGGATGTGTTGGGGTAGGGGTAAGATCCTGGTTTCTCCTTCCATCTGACATCCTTAAAGTTTGTCATCAGATATATCAGACAGCTGTGAAATACTGTTTTGTTTTGACATGGGGGTCCACTGAGTGGGGGAAGTGGGGTGTGAGGGGAAGGGGTCAGGTCAGGGCCTCAGTTTACCTTTTCTAGTCCTAACCCCCCTATTTTATAAAAGAAAAGCACTGGGGCGGGGCGCTGAGCGATTTAGTACAGCAGGTCAGGCATCATGATAGGGGCTTCTTGATCCTGGGGACCACATATGGTCTCAGAGCCAGGAGTAAGCCCTGCACACCATGTGTGGCAAAATAAATACAAATAAATAAACAAGCTTTGGAGAGTCAGAAACGTTGGATTCCCTGGTGCCTGATATATCCCCTGAGCCCCGCCAGGAGTGCAGAGCTAGGGGTAAGCCCCAAGCATCACCAGAGTGTGGCCGAAACAATGAAAGCGTTTGGAGAGAGGGAAAAAAATGCCTTTTCATTAGTTTTCCCTCTTTCTCTTGAATATGGGATTAATTCCCTTTTTATAGATAATCAAAAACAGGGCCAGGAAGAGAGTTCCGCCTGCTATGATTGCAGAGGCCTGGGTTTGACCCCCTAGAGCTCCGGGAAGAGCCCTGAGCGGGGGGTTTACACCACACACATTCTCATGCGCACGCATGCACATGCATACACATGTACGCACGTGCACGTGCACACATACAAGCATACTGCCAGCTTGACCCCTGAACCCAAAACACACAGAACGCACAGTGTGGTTGTGGTGACCTGGTGTGGGCTTTTACCGCCTCGGCATGTGGTCATCGGATCCTTGTTTCATGTCCGTGTGTCCCTTCCCCCACCCACCGCCACCCCCGGCTGGGGGCCTTGAAGATAAAGCTGAGTGTCGGCCCAGGAAGGACGGACCTGTGTAGTTACTGTTGCTGTGGGCAGCTGTGGTTCACGCTGGCCCCGGCCACCCTTGGAAGACAGGAAAGAGCATGTTCCCCATCAGCCCTGCCCCTTGCTCAGTGTGGTGTGGGGACAGACTCGGAATAGCTCCCCATGGTTCTGTCACATCACAGGCATGGGGCTCGATGGCACAGCGTGGCTCAGAAACTGCTTCCACAGGCGAGGAGGGAGGGAAGGTGGTTCTGCAAGGTGGAAAATTGTGGGTGGATTTGGGAGAGGCTGTGTACAGAATCGGAAAAGGGAAACAAAAACACAGTGCAAGCGACATGGAGAACCAAAGCCCTTTCCTATACTCACCCCTTACTTTGAGGGGTGACTCCAAACAGATGGATCTCAGTCCCTTTGAAAGCAGGGGATGAGCCTGAGGAAGCACCAAATGTTGGCTCTGAGCCTACAAGATGCTGAGGGAGGGAGGCTGACGTCCAGCTTCTGGACAGCCCTGCAGGCCATGGATGCTGACTTCCAGCAGTCTGGGCAGGAGCGGGGTGTGGGGGCTTCCCCAGCAGTGCTCAGGGGCTAGGGGTCCTGCTGTCCACGCTCAGCCGGGCAGGCCAAGGTTCAGCGCAAGGACCTGAGGATGGAGTGTTGGTGCCTTTGTTAGTTTGTTTTGGGGCTACACTGGCGATGCTTAAGGGTTCCTCCTGCCTCTGCACCCAGGAATGACATCTGGCCGTGCTTGGGGCACCAGATGGGATGATGCCAGGGGTTGAACCCATGCTAGCTGCTTGCAAAGCTGTACCACTGTGCTATTGCTTTGGCCCACAATGCTGCAGCTTGAGGCTACCTGAGACCACCCCTGGCCATGCTGGGGTCCCCATGTGGTGCCAGGTATCATCCCCAGGCCAGGCACAAGCCTGGCACACTCCATGGCCCCGTCCTGTCTCGTGGCCTCCGTCGGGCCGGTGTTAAGCAGTGACTAAGCCTGGGACAGAGGGGCAGGGTGCAGGCCCCTGGGTGTCCCCCAGAATACTGCTTAGGGCTCCCCCTTAGCCCTACGTGGGGCCGGTGGTGGCAGAGGGTCAGAAATTTTGTCCTACATGCAACTGACCCAAGTTGGATTCCTTGGTACCTGATATATCCCCTGAGCCCCGCCAGGGGTGACCCCTGAGTGCAGAGCCAGGAGTAAGCCCCAAGCATCACCGGGTGTGGCCAAAACAAAGCATTTGGAGGGGGGGGGGGGGGAAGAAATGCTTTTTTTTAATTAGTTTTCCCTCTTTTTCTTGAATATGGGATTGATTCCCTTTTCATAGATAATCAAAAATGGGACCGGGAAGGGAGTTCGGTCTCAGGTGTCAGGGCCGCTGTGTTTCCCTCTCTTGTGTTCTAGAAGTGGAAGAGCTGGCGGACCATGGCGTGTTTCTCCCGCCCAACATGCAGGGGCTGACTGACGAGCAGGTGCAGGAGCTGAAGCTCCGGGACGAGTGGGGTGAGAAGTGCGTGCCCAGCGGCGGCGCCGTGTTCCAGAAGGACGACATCGGGCGCAGGAACGGGCAAGGTGAGGCCTTACACATCTCGGCGTCTCCACGATGTCCGGGTGCCGCTGGGGGCACTTTGGCTTCATGCTCTCAGGTAGGGGCCTCCAGCCGCTAGTGCAGGCGAACTGCTCAGACTGACTGCCGTCATGGGTCATTGGTCGGGGGTGGGGGATGGGGGGAGATTGGCAATTTCATCTGGCTGGACCCAGTCGGGTTTTAGGGGGGATTTTTTGAGCTTGATTTTAAACCACACTCAGTGGTGGTCTGGGCCTACTCCTGGCACTGCGCTTGGGGGTGTCACTCCTGGTGGGTCTCCGAGGACCAGATGAGGTGCCGGGGTTTGAACCCGGGTCAACCGTGTGCAAGGCAAGCACCTTACCCGCTGTGCTGTCTCTCTCCATCGCCAGTCTCTCTCCGGCCGTTTGGGGTATTGGCAGTTGCATATATCTCAGAGGTTGTGTTTTGTCGTGGGGTGCAGTTGGAGGGTCCAGGGAAAGGAAGGAAGTGAATGTCACATAGGGGCTCTGCCTGCATTAGGGACAAGACCTTCATGTGTTAGAGGACATGGAAAGTCTCGGCTGGGGGGCTGGAGCAATAGCACAGCGGATAGGGCGTTTGCCATGCACGCGGCAGATCTGGGTTTGATTCCCAGCATCCCCTATGGTCCCCCAAGCACCACCAGGAGTAATAGCTGAATGCAGAGCCAGGAATAACCCCTGAGCATCGGCCAGGTGTGACCCAAAAAGAAAAAAAAAAAAAAGTAAATCTCGGCTGAAAGGAAGTCACATGATGCCCCATTCTGTCCACCCACCCCCCCCCTCCCCATGGAGAGAGGTTCATGACGGACCATCCTCAGACATTCGGCGAATGTTAGATCTGCCCTTGCCCCCAGACACTTTTGGGGGCGATGGGGGAATACTGCGACACCTTCTAGGTGTGGAGTAAATATTCCTTAAATCTCAGAGGTGCTGGGAACTGCTAGTCTTAAGTTCCTTTGGAGTTGGACACTGGGAAATGCTCGTTTCACCTCAGACTGATTCATTCAACACTCAGTCTTCCCTTGGGAAAGGGCCTTGGTCCTTGGAAAGGAATTGCAGCCATCAAAGAGGGCTGTGGGGCCGGAGCGATAGCACAGTGGATAAGGCGCTTGCCTTGCCTGCGGCCGACCCGGGTTCCATCCCCAGCATCCCATATCATCCCCTCAGCCCCTCCAGGAGTGCCCCTGAGTACAGAGCCAGGAGTCAGCCCTGAGCATCATGGGTCTGTCCCCAAAACCATACAAGGAACAGCAGGAGTGACCCGCCATGCCCAGGGGTTTTGCTTGCAGACTTGTGTGTCTGCCTTGGTTCCCTGTCGGGGGTGGGCATGCCACACGCCACAGGCCTGGCGTCTGCTCCCGTTCCTCGGTCCACGCGGCCTCCTCAGAGACGGAACCTGCGGAGCCCGAACCTTTATCCTGTGCACACGTCCCCGCAGGCTGAAGGCCGTGTCACACGGGCCCACCCCGCAGAGGGTCTGCACCCCTATCTCACCCCGGGCGGCTGGCTTGTTGGGTTCCAGACGTGGTTCTCTCTGCCCTCACCTTTTTCTTTCCCTAGCCCCAAATGAGAAAATGAAGCAAGTTCTAAAGAAGACAGTGGAAGAGGCCAAAGCCATCATATCCAAGGTCTGCGGGGGCTCCCACCCCTCTCTCTACCCGCCATATCCAGGGTCCTCTGGGGGCTCCCACCTCTCCCTCCACCCGCCATATCCAGGGTCCGCGGGGGGCTCCCACCTCCCTCCACTGAAGCCCCCCTGAGGGGGCCTCCCACCTGCTTTCAGAGAGAATCACCAGCACCCCTCAAAAGCCTCCCTCCTCTGAGTGAACAAACAGATGCCCCCAACCCCCGTGGCACCCCCAGATGGTCCCAGCGTCCCTCAGACCCACTTGCTTCCCACTCTGGGGTCCGGCCTTTCAGCCCCACCCCCAGCTCCTGCCGTGCCTCATAACGGGCATGTCATGCGGAACCGGGCGCTGGCGGCGGGTGTCCATGTGTGACGGCAGAATGGGGGCAGCGGGCGAGGGGGACCACAGTTTCTCTCAGCCTGTGTGATCACCCTGAAACACTTGTCCCCACACACACGCAGCCGTGCCCCCTTGTGTCTGTCACTGCGGCCCCTCCCTCCCTCCCCCCGACTGCATGTGGACACCTGCTCCCCCCCCCCCATCTCTTGCCCATGTGTCCGGGCTCCCCCATCCTGCGGCATTCCTCAGCCTGGAGCCACAGCTGCGCCTGCTCAGCTCAGACCCCCAAAACCTCAAGGCTGGCCCTGTCCAAGGGGATGCCTTCTCTTCATCGCCGGGGGATCCGGCCCCAGCTCTGCCCAGGATGAAATGGGTCTGGCCGTCTTGGCTGAGGTTTCTGGGGACCTGTGGCTCCCCAGAGTTGTGGGGCTCCCCATGGCCAGGCCTGACTTCCCCGAGCCCCTGGGCCCTCTCCTTTGGGGTTGCCCCCAGGTAGCCCCAGGGCTGGTTAGCATAGTGGTCAGCGCAGGGGCCTGGGGTCGGGGGTGAATGGAGGAGAGAAGGAGACGGGGCCTCACCCTGAGCCAGAGGGCAGTCGGGGCCGCAGGGTCCCACCCCTCCTGAGGCTGCACACTGGCTAGCAGGACCCCTGCCCTTGGCCTGTGACATGGCTTTTTGGGACCAATGACTCCGGGGCGTTCTGTTATGGGGGCCCTGTCTGGAAGCTTGCACTATGCTCCTCTGGCTGACTCCCCGCTTTGCCCGGGAAGACCTCGTCTTTGCGTGGACCCCCCAGGAAGTGCAGAGGTGGGCCCGGGCCCCGGGTTGGGGGGCTGACGGCGCAGCTGACCCCACCGGCCCCTACAGAAACAGGTGGAGGCCGGCGTGTGCGTGACAGCGGAGATGGTGAAGGACGCCCTGGACCAGCTCCGAGGGGCCGTCATGATCGTCTACCCCATGGGGCTGCCACCCTACGACCCCATCCGCCTGGAATTCGAGAACAAGGAAGACCTGTCGGGCACCCAGGTATCGCACCCTGGAAGGAGGAGCCGCGTGCATGCACACACACACACACAACACACCACAACACACCACACACATACCTGGACATCGCCCTTTTCAGCCTCCCCTGGCCATGCTGGCCACCTTCCCACCTGGCACCCGAGTGCTCAGCCCCCAGTTCTCCGGGCAGCAGGCCCCGAGGGGTGTCTCCTTACAGTCCTGCCCATCCGGGTTCCCTCCCGGACTTGAGTCCCTGTTCTCATGGCCACTCTGGGCAGGGACTCGAGACCCCCAGCAGGGTTCTGCCGCCTCCTACCCTGCGCCCCCCGACAACAATATGGGGCTAGTGTCTCCGCATGCTGCAAATGTGCCGTTCGGGCAGATCATGGGGTGGGTTGCAGCTCTGTGTGCATACCTGGGGGGTCCCATCACCTGAACGGGGGCTGTCCTCACTGCAGGCCTCACTCAGTGTCATCGCGGAGGCCGAGGCCCAGCTCTGGTGGGCAGCCAAGGAGCTGCGGAGATCCAAGAAGCTCTCAGACTACGTGGGCAGGAACGAGAAGACCAAGATCATCGTCAAGATCCAGCAGGTGTGTCTGGGGACGCTGGCCCATCCGCCCAGGGGCCAGCCTGGGGGACCTGCCACATTCAGTTCAGCTTTTGAAGTGTGGCCAGGAGGGGACCGGGGCCATGGCACAGCGGGGAGGGCACTTGCCTTGCAAGCAGCAGGCCTGGGTTTGATCCCCGGCACCCCACATGGCCCCCTGAGCACCACCCAAGAGTGATTCCTGAGTATCACTGGGTGTGGCTCAAAAAGCACTGTAGCACTGTCCTCCCATTTTTCATCAATTTTCTCGAGCAGGCACCAGTAACGTCTCCATTGTGAGACTTGTTGTTACTGTGTTTGGCATATCGAATATGCCACGGGGAGCTGGCCAGGTGCTGCCGTGCGGGCAGAATACTCTCGGTAGCTTGCCAGTCTCTCCGAGAGGGATGGAGGAATCGAACCCTGGTCGGCCACGTGCAAGGCAAACACCCTCCCCGCTGTGCAATCACTCCAGCCCGTGGCCCAAAAAATCTGTCACTGTCACTATCACTGTCCTCCCATTGTTCATTGATTTGCTCGAGCGGGCCCAGTAACATTGTGACACTTGTTACTGTGTTTGGCATATCGAATACGTCACGGGTAGCTTGCCAGGCTTCACCGTGTGGACGAGATACTCTCGGTAGCTTGCTGGGCCCTCCCAGAAGGGCAGAGGAATCAAAGGCGGAGGAATCGAACTTGGGTTGGCTGGGTCTGCCGGGTCAGCTGCGTGCAAGGCAAACGCCCTACCCACTATGCTATCTCTTCAGCCCAGCCCCCAGCCCCCCCAAAAATTATATATATATATATATATATATATATACAGACACACACATACATTTTTTTTTTGCCGGCCAGAGAAATTGTATAGTGGGGAGGGCATTTGCCTTACACGTGGCTTACCCGGGTTCAGTCCCCGACATCCCATATGGTCCCCTGAGTTCTCCAGGAGTCACCTCTGAGTGCTGAGCCACCAGTAGTGGCCCCTGGGTACCGTGGGTGTGGCCCTACAACCAGTAAATAAAATTTGGCTGAGGCGCCAGGCAGATAGTACAGGGATTTAAGGCACTTGCCTTGCATGAGGCTGACCCAAGTTGAATTCCCCCCTATGGCTCCCCGAGCACTGCTGGGTTCACTCCTGGGCACTGAGCCAGGAAGCGTCCCTGAGTGCCTTGGGGTGTGGTCCCCAAGTAAAACAGAACAAATAAACAGTAGCAAAGAGGCCAGGAGACAGCTCCTGGGGGCCACTGTGGGCAGCCTGGATTCCAGCTCCAGCACGACCAGGAGCGACCCTGGGCTCTGCTGAGTGTGGCCCCAGGACAAGAGAGAAAACAAGGAGGGGGGAAGGCCCCGCCTCACGTGTTCCCCGCCACAGAATGACCCCGTTTGAATCCAGATGAGGCTCGGGGTGGGTGGGAGTGATTGCTGCAAGGCCCAGGGCCCTGCTCGAGGCTTTTGGGTGCCCAGACCTAGGCTGGGGAGTAGATGGGACACCTGGGCAGTCGCGGGGGTGTTTGCCTGAGTTCATTCCTGCGGCCCTGCTGTTTTGATGGTGGGGGGAGGGGATCCAGGGCTCCCATGTGCCCACTGGGGGTCCCCGTGCGTCTCCTCTGGGGGCCAGGCTGGGGACCCCTTCCTTGCCCACCCTCATGCCCCCATCCCTGCAGCGGGGCCAGGGCGCCCCGGCCCGGGAGCCCATCATCAGCAACGAGGAGCAGAAGCAGCTGATGCTCTACTACCACCGGAGACAGGAGGAGCTCAAGGTGGGCATCCGCCTGGGGGCGGGGGAAGCGGGGTGGGAGAGGGGAGGGGACCAAGCCAGCTTGGTCTCTCCCCAGAAACTGGAGGAAAATGAGGACGACGACGCCTGCCTCAACTCCCCGTGGGCAGACAACACGGCGCTCAAGAGGCACTTCCAGGGCGTGGCAGACATCAAGTGGAGGCCCCGATGATCACCACCCCCAGAGTGACCACAGTGCAGTGACCACCCCTCCCGGCAGCAGAGGTGGTTGGAGTCCGATGTCTATGGAGTAGGGTTTTTGGAGTTTGGATTTTTGAAAATCAAATTTGCTAGAACTTCATACATTATTTTTTTTAGAAACAGAAAAAACTATATGGAGCTAAAGCTTAATAAATAGATCCTCAAAAGAATTTGGCAGCGTTATTTGGATTCCAGGACATGAGGTTTGTTAAAATACTCAGATGAGGGTGCTGGGTGTTGTGTGTGTGTGTGTGTGTGTGTGTGTGTGTATGTGTGTGTTGGTGGAAGGGAAGAGAAAGCACCTCCTGAGCTTCACCAGAGCTGCTGAGACATGGCCATGGGTGGCCACAAGAGGTCACTGTCACACCTTTCTCCCTATGCTATAACAGGGTAATGATTCCAGGGGAGGACCACCAGTATGTGTGTGTGTGTGTCTGTGTCTGTGTCTGTCTGTCTGTCTCTCTCACACCTGCCAGGTGGCATCCACCAGTTGGCCAATGCCTGGCTGGCCTGGCACTAGCAAGGGGTGTGTGTGTGTGTGTGTGTGTGTGTGTGTGTGTGTGTGTGTGTGTGTGTCCCTGGGAGAGTGTGTCTGTCTCTCAAACCTGCCAAGTGTGTGTGTGTGTGTATCCCTGAGAGTGTGTGTATGAGTATCTGTGTGTGTCTCTCTCACACCTGCCAGGTGGCGTCCACCAGCTGGCCAATGCCTGACTGACCTGGCACCAGCAAGGGGTTTGTGTGCATGTGGGGTGTGTGTGTTTGTATGTGTGTGTGTGTTCGTGTCGCACCTGCCAGGTGGCATTCACCTGCTGGCCAGTGCCCGGCTGGCCTGGCTGGCAGCCTGGGGAACCCTCCTGGACCTCGCATATGTCTGGGCTTTCCCAGCCTCTCCTGACCGCTGGGAGTCCCAATCCTCAGGCCGACCATTGCTTTCACACCCTCCGCCTGGGCCCTTCCTGGGCCCCTCACGGGCCCCTGCACAGCTGCCCCAGATCTCGCTTGTTTCCAGCTGTGGGAACAGCCCCAAGATGGGGCCCCTGTCCACACTCCCCACCCTGTGCCCTTCGGTGTCACCCACACCCCCGAGTGACTTGAGCAGTGGCTCCCCAGATCGCGTCCTGGTGCCCAACTGTTCAGGTCTGTTGTCAGCACCGGGAAAATGAAATTGTCGTGGATTTCTCTCAGGCTTCTGCCACGTATGCACATATTCTGCATAAAGGACTGAGGGCCACAACTAGCTCTGTGCTTGGGGGTTCCTTCCGATGGTACTTGGGGGTCCCTCTCGGTGTTGCCAGGGATCAAACTGGGGTGGGTCTCATGCCAGGCACCACCTGGACCCCTCGATTCCTCCCCTGCTTCCATAGTACATTCTTTGGGAGCCGGCAGTGCTCAGGGCTGACTCCCAGCTCTGTGCACAGGGATCACTCGGGCGATCCTACAGAATGCTGGGGATCAAACTCAGGTCGGCTGTGTGCAAGGCAAACGCCCTCCTCGCTTGACTATGGGTCCAGCCTCTCATCAAACCCAGGTTCTGAGACATGGGAGCACACGCCCTCCTCAGCTCCGGCTCCAGCCGCCTCCCCAGCATGTCCATGTGAAATGATGTCACCCTTGGGTGAAGCGAAGGTGGCAAAAACCATGCTATGACTCAGCTTCTGTCCCTGACACCTGCCCAGAGGTGCTCAGAGGTGACCAACCCAGACCGAGCCTGTGAGCACAGCTGAGCAGGGTGCACTGGGGATTCTTGTGACTTTGGTGGCACAGAATGTTTCTGTGATGATTCTGGTGGGGTGCCCAGGGCTTCCTTCATCCCAGACAGTGCCCCTCTCACCCCCCACCCCCACCCCCCGCCATAGTGGCATCCTGGTCTGGGCGTCTGGGTGGCCCCAACTGCCACCCTGTCCCTCAGCCTCAGAGACACAGCCACCACCCACTCACTTTTTTTTCCTTTGTTTTGCTTTTTGGGTCACACTCAGCAGTGCTGAGGGGTTACTCCTGGCTCTGCACTCAGGAATTACTCCTGGCGGTGCATGGGTGAGTCATATGTGATGCCAGGGATTAAATGTGGGTCAGCTGTGTGCAAGGTAAACACCTTCCCCATTGTGCTCTCTGGCCCCAACCCCTCACTTTTTAGTGCAGAGATCTCCCAACTGATCTCAACCTGGACCCCTTCCTGCTACCTGCAGGAAGACAGCACCCCTCGATCTTCTGGGCCTCGAGGCACCCTGAGCACTGAGGGCAGAGAACCCTCCCCTCCTGTCAAAGGGAGCCGGGGAGGGAAATTTCCTCTGAGCAATCCTGGACTGTGCCCACCTTGGGATGTACCGTGCTGTATGTGGGAGAGTCATACACACCCCATCTCTGCTCTCAGGTGGCTGACCCAGGGTGCCTGAAGATGTGTGTCAGTTTAGTCCTGGCCATGCAGGCCTCTGACTCAGCAGAAGACTGGGGTCTTTGGGACGTGAGGAGGGGGATGGACCCCCCCTCCCCCAGCTCTGTGCCCAAGGTTCATTCTTGGCTGTGCTCAGGAGACCACGTGCTGTGTCAGGGCTCAAACACCAGCTGGCCACATTGAGGGCAAGTGCACAAAGCAAGGATGGTTTGGGATCCACACCCAGTGCCGCTCAGGGGTCACTCCTGGCGGGATCTGTGGACCGAGTGCTGCTGACCCGGCCTTCTGGTCTCTGCTTCCTGCAGTGTTGCTGTCTGCCAGGGAACTGGGGTTTAGCCATCCTGGGGTTTAGCCAATTCTGAGCCAGCAAATGCCTCACCAGGTGTCACGGCATTCAAGAAAGAGTCAGCCCAGGACAGGGCTTGGTCTTGGGGGTAACCAGCAGGTCCCATAAGCCAGCCTTGTCCAGGGAAACATCCAGGGCCCTGGGCTGGCCACGGGTGCCAACATGCCCCCCCCTGCTTTCCTTACCAAGTCAGTGTGACCCGCGGCCTCCTGCTGGCCATGGGAGCCACAGTGCCAGGTTCCTGGCAAGAGGAGAGACAGACAGTTGGACAGACAGCCGGAAATGCGCCTGTGGGGAAACAACCTGGACAGTCGGCAGGTTACGTCTCCCCTGAGGTGGGCACTCTGACACGGGCTCTGTGGAAACCGTGGGCATGACTGGTGCTGTTGGTGCTGCTGGTGCCACTGGTGGTGGTGGCACTGCCCTGGTCTCCACGAAGGCACCGAGCGACCCGGCAAGCCACCTGAGGCCACACAGCTTCCAAGGGGCAGAGGTGGGAGATGGGCCCAGGTCAAGCTAAGGCAGGGCTTACCCCACCCTGGCTGGGCTCTGTTCAGACAGACATATGCCAGGTGGAAACACCCCACACTTTGCCACTTCAGAATACACAGTCTAGGCAGGCACCCACACACACAGAGACATGCATGTAGACATACACACACACGTATGCACACACACATGTACACACATGCACACATACACACATGTGTACACATGCACACACACATGCATGCACCAAGGTGCCTGCACACAGACACCTGCAATTTCAACTGTGCCCTGAAGGATTGAGGGAGAGAAGACAAAGGGACAGGCCCATGCCTGGATACACACACTTGCGTTCATATATGCACCATGCTCACACAACAATGTGCACACACGTGCACACACAAGTGCACAACCAGTGCTGGTAAGCATATGTACACACTCATGTAGGTTGAGGTACCCGCACATACACTGTGGTCCTGGAACACACACATACTCACGTGCACACATAAAGGTTCTCTTGAACACACATAGACCCACATGCGCACCCACATATATACACACAGATGCATACATGCAGAGATGCATTACGTAAATGTGCACATGCATACCGAGATGCACCACACTGAGGTGAAGACATACACACATGCACATGCATGCACACATGCCCAGAGCAACATTGTACACAGAGATGCATGCACACACTCGAGCACACACACATACACCCAGGGGTATATTATGAATGTACATACAAATGCACGTGAGCGTACTGGGGTGCGTGCATACACACACACACACACATACACACACGCACACACACCTGCACGTCCATCTGAGTTCTGTTTGTCTTTCGAACAACTTATCACTGGGTGGAAGGAACAAGTGAACAAACAACGGGCCAGTGGCACGGGCTCAGGGCGGGCCCCTGTGTTGACAGGGCTGGAATTGGAAGGTGCTGATGGACAGACGCCCCCACAACCCCGCAGACACACAGCCTGGCCGCTGAGTCACGGGGAATTGCTGGCACCCGAACAAACACCAATTGTGCTGGGAAAGTGAATTTCAACAGGACCCCCACCCCACCCATTCCCCAGAGTGTCAAGAGGCATGGGAGAGGTGGGGAGGGGGGCACAGCGCTCTGGACTAGACCCCCAGAATCTAAACTCAGGGCCAACCTGGGTCACTGGGGAGACCAGGAGCTACTGTTTTGGGGTTTCTTCCCAGGGCTTGTACTTCTTGAGGCAGGGATGGCCTGGCATGGCTGAGGTCCGGCCCCTGGAGCCAGAAGGGCTTTGTGTCCCCGCGCTCCCCCCAAAAGGACTCGATTATCACACACTTGACTCTCAAGCCCTTGAGTGAATCTTGCTGAAATAAATAATTGCCCCTGGGCTCCGTCCAAGTTTGTCCTGGGAGCCTCTTCTCTTTGGTTTCGAAGAATATTAAAAGGGACTGAAAAGAGAGATTTAGAAATGAATGGCACTGTTTCAACGCAGCCCATGACCTGGGAAAAAGCAAAAGCTGGAATGTTACTTAGGGTGAAACCCTCCAGGAAAGTGAGGGCAAAAGCTGGTGGTGATCGCGAGGGGATGTTCCAATCCTCCTGGCCGGGATCTTTGCTGCTGAGCATCAGGTGACAGCCCCTGCCTCTGGGCCCCCTAGACTCCCTGCTTTTAGCCCTGACAATCCCAGGTGGCAACAAAAACCCTCAGTACCCAGTAAATCAGAAAGGTCAGTTACCTACTGCAGATTCCGGGGGTGCAGGGAAAACTCCCAGGAACCCACTCTAGCAGGCAGGGACCCAGTTGTTTGTTTGTTTGTTTGTTTTATTTTAATGAATCACTGTGAGATACAGTTGCAGACTTACAATCTTGCATAATTACGTTTTGATCATATGATGTTCAGGGA